GCTATCTTAGTTTAATTCATAATGTTATTATTGTTTTTTTTCTGGGTTTTAGGTTTTCAATAGGAACCAGAATATTAATACTGAGATTCACTTTTTTTTTCTTCATTTTGTTGATAATTAAATTTCTGTTGTTCTTCATCACTCTCTCCACACTATTTTTTTTAATGAAAATAGTTATTGTAATTAAAAAACATGCAAATCATATTTTCTATTTTGCTAACCATGATGATGAAGAAGAAACAAAATAAATGACAACAGTGTGACAAAGAATTTATATGAAAGCAAAAGTAAATTCCATTCGTATACAAGCAATAGAAAGTTGGTAGAAAAAACACATTGTTATTTTCCATACACTGCCAATTCTTATGAAATTTTTCCCTTTTCACTGAAAAAAAAAACTAGAGAGAGAGAGAGAGAGAGAGAGTAGGAGAAATACTGGAAACAAAAATAATTAAATCGTCATTAACGTTCAATTTCTTTTTAACCCGAACAAAAAAAAAATTGACTAATTCCAAAAAAGAGAGGAGAACTCTTTGAAACTATTTAACTCGGATAATAAAAAAAAACTGCCAGAAAACAAAAACAAGTTAACGGGTAATTTGAAATTGAAATGATAATGAATGAATGATAAAGATGATAATAATGATGTTGAACTTCGGAAAAAAAATCAAAATCAAATAACTGTTCCAATTAGTGGAAAATTAAACAAAAAAAACAAAAAACAAAAATGGCAAACATTCATTCTCATAAATGACAATTTGGTTTATCAACATCAAGAATATTCATTGGAATTTGATAAAGTACCAGAAATAAATTCTGAATAAAATTCGATCAACAATCATGATAATGATGATGATGATGATGAACTTTTGATTTATACAAAATTATTTCTCTCTCTCTCTTTCCCTCTTTTTTGTTTCAATGTTCCCAAGGCGATTAATTAGTAAATTTTGAAATCATTATCGGCATTCTGTTGTTGTTGTTGTTGGAACCAATTCACTATTTACAAGTTGTGTTCATGATTATTATCATCATCATCCAACAACTAACTAATTATCAGAATGAAATATATTTTTTGAATGAATAAATTAGAGACAGGGGAAAAGAATCGGATTTAAACAAACAAAAAAAAAACAGTGCATTTTTTTAATCCATTTTGTATTGGAAAATGAAAAATCTTAGTCATTATTAGATTTTCAATGATGATCATTATTGAAATGAAAATATTTGACAACAACTACATATTGAATAATTATTGTATCTTTTCTTTCTAACTAAGTGAATTTTCTGTTCTAATTGAAAGAAGAAAAATTGATTGATTTTGATGAAAAAAGAAATGTATTTTTTACCCCTCAAACAAAACAATTCAAAAAAAGCAAATTGAAATCAACAAATCAACTCAAGTGAAGCCAGAAAAAAAATTTGTTTCATCAAACAGAATCTTAATAATAGAAACTGTTTTTTCAAAGAGAATTTTGTTTAGTAGTTCATTATTGACTGATATTCAATTCGATTCAATAATTTCGACAACAAGAATCAAGTCAATGGAAACAAAAAAATGACAAAATAATTATAGTGCGAAACAACAACAACAACAAAAGTGTTTTCTCTCAATCATCATCAGTCAACCTTTTTGGGAGAGAAAATATCTCAACCTGAAACAAATTACTATAGCTACTTATTGGAAAGGAAAAAAAAGAATAACAGGAAAAAATAACATTTCCAGAAGAAGAAACTTGATGAATAATGATGATGATGACGACGATGATGATGACAAATAAAAGAAAATTGACAGAAAATACATATATAGTGTGTAAACAACAACAACAGCAACCAGCAACAAACAGAAAAAAAAATTGTGTCCAAATTGACCTGTCGTCAAAAGAATATATAAAAACAACCTGAATATGATCATTTGAAAATAATGATAATATTTTTTCTTTTTCAATGGAATTTCCGAAGAGAAAGAGAATGAGAGAATGAAAGAATGAGAAAGTCAAATTTCTATGTCGATACGGAAGAATTGACAAATCGATATTGTGCATGTTTTTTTTATTATTTTTATTTTCGTTTGTATTTTCATAATGGATGGCATATACTTGTATGCATTTATATATAGAGTGAGTGAGAAAGAGAAAACAAGAATCGATTCTTTCATCATCATCATCATCCACTCTCGATCACCTAAAGAGAATATGACATTTTTTTTGGGTATTTGGTAATAACTATGGAAAAGGAAATTGGATAAATTCATACATACATTGCGTGCGACTATTATCACTTGTTTAGTTATAGTTTCTATTTTCATTCATTCATAAATGAATGAATGGAATGAAAATGTTTAAATAGAAATTCCTGTCCATTTCTAATTCAATGTTGTTGTTTTTTGTACAAAGATCAAAACAAGATAGATTTTTCTTTTTGTCTATTTCAACAATTAACTTTTAGTATTTCGTCATTTTGTGATGAATTCATTCGAATCGATTCTTTTTTAGATTTCATTTTTCTTTCTTCTTAATAGTTTCTAATTGAATGAATGAATGAGAGAGAGAGAGAGAGAGAGAGAGAGAGAGAGAGAGAGAGAAAAAAANATTTTGTGATGAATTCATTCGAATCGATTCTTTTTTAGATTTCATTTTTCTTTCTTCTTAATAGTTTCTAATTGAATGAATGAATGAGAGAGAGAGAGAGAGAGAGAGAGAGAGAGAGAGAGAGAAAAAAAGGAAGCCAATCATATCATCATTCATTCAATTTAATTTGTGACATAATTTGTTGTGTGTGTGTGTTGTATTTGCGTGTTTGTCTCTAAAGAATAAAATGAAAATGGGAAAAAAACACTAACATTGATATAAAGGAAGAGAATATTCTAGAGATACAAATAAATATATTCACTCGAAACGTTTCAACAACAACAAAGAAAAAGAAACCTATCAAAAGAAAAATTTTGTTATGAAACAACAACAACAAACATAAGAAAATGGTGTAGGAAATATGGTCACTTAATAATAATAATGGCGAAAAAAAAAGAATCCAGAAAAGTGTTTTTATCTGGAAAATGGAGATTTTCTTCAATTCGTTTCGATTAAACGCGATAATAAACTTGAGGGGTGCAAAATAGTCACTGTAGGGAAAAAGAGAATAAAAGAAAAACACGAATCAAAATCCGAACGAAAAAAACACTGTGTACTTTTGAGAATTTGATGAATTCATAAGAATTTCCAATGTACTATTGTGGTGCAAATCTGTTTGTTTCAAAAAATTATTATAAATGTTTTTGATGGCTGAAAACAAACAACATTTTCAAAACAAATCTATTGAAACAAATAAGGATGGCTAACTAAGTATTTAATCAGTATATTTTAATAATTTTCAATGGAAGCTAATCTAGAAAAGCATTTTTGGAGGGAAAAAAAGTTACTTTTTGGCCATTGGATTCAATTTCGAATAAAATTTTATCAGAATGTTTCGATTAGAATTGAATTGAACAAAAATTATTTCCAAAGGTAATCGATTTGATCTAAAAAGATTTGGATATTTTTTCATTATCATCACCATCATTATTTGTTATATTTGAAAACTTTAAAATAAATGAATGTCATGCTTACATTTTTATTGACAGATTTTTTTCTTTCAGAATTGGGGTATGTTCAAAAAAAAAAACATTCAAAGGAAAATGACATTTATTTCTTGGGTCGATCGCGGTTTGGTTAGCTGATATTTGTCGCGCTCAATATATGATGTGATAATCATCATTATCAACGTGGCAAATGATGAAGCAGATTTTCTTTTTTCATTTTCATTTTGATCAAGGATTTGCAAAATCAATGCGTTTTTTTTCTGCTGCTTCTGAGTTGAATGAAAAAAAATTTTTACGTTTCTTTTTAAAAAAAATCATGTTCTATGACCTTTTTTCAAATTCTAACTAAAATTCAATTATCATCATTTGGACATGAAACTGATACTTGTTTTTTTTCTTTATCTTGCTGCAAATTATTTTTTGGAGGGAAAAAAATAGTTCATCATCATAGTTGAACATGATGCATAACATTGACACAAAATCAAATCAGCATGATTATGATTAAGCAGAAACAAGGAAATATTATTTCATTTTTAAAAAAATGAAATGAAATGAAATCTTTATTAAGCAAAGATAACATTTATGATAAAGATATCGATATCAAAGATAATCATCGATAAACATCATCATCATCAGATGTAAATTCGAACATTTATTTCATTCGAAACTAATAATATTCGAATCTATTTCGATCCAAACGTGCTGACAAATGTTAAAATATGAAAAATTAGTGATTTACACGAGTGAAAATTACAAAATTTTTTTTTTCATCTGACATCCAAATTTCGTAATGTAAAATTCATCATGAATCTTATCAAGTTTTGAAATTTTTTTTTTGACATTTTGTTTCATTTTATTATATTTAATGGAACCAATTTTGATTATAAATAATTGAATGGCCAAAAAAAAAAAAATCATTTTTCCCTAATTAATTCAACAACCACAAAAAATAGACAAATAATGGTAACGTTGTTAAGAAAAAATGGAAAACTAAAAAATTCTTGTGGAAAATTTATGACAGGAAAATCATCATCATCAATGAATGTGACGTCTAAATGTTTGTTTGGTTTTGGTTATGTTATTCTATGCAAAAACCAGCAAAACAAAACGAAAAAAATTTCCATTTTAAAATCAACTAAACTAAACTAACCAACTAACGATTTTCCGAAGTAAACATCGCCATCACCATCAACTAATGGTAGAACTGTCATTTTTGAAAAAAATTGGTAATAAATTTTGCAGAATAAAAACAACAAACTTTAAGTACACATCATGATGATGAACGTAACGCTAATTATAACAATTTTTCTTCTTCTTTTTATTCTTAGATTTTGCTTTCACAAGAATTTAATCACTCGAAAAAACGAAGAATAAAAAATTTCGAAATTCGCATGCGCATTGCATTTCATTTATGTTTTTCAATAATAAAAAATTTTAGATTCGAAAATTAAATTAAATAAACGAAACCTACCTTGTTTCAATATTGAAAATAATTTCCAAATTTGAGAATTCAATTATCGAATTATTTCGGTATTGGCCATCATCATCATCATCATCGTTACTGTCATCATATTTGTCACTTGAAAGATTGAAAACGAAAAAAAAATGGAAAAATAATAAGAAAAAAATATAAAGATTGTCATCAAATTTGTCACCAATATCAAACATGTTGTTGTTTTTTTCAAAATAAACCAGAAAAACCCAAATGTCAAAACATACCATCATTATGACAGGAGAAAAAAATACGAGCAGAGAAAAAAATAAACATCAAGCTCATCATCATTATAACCAGAATAAAGTTGCGAATAGAAACTTTTAAAATAACAAGGGCTATTCAATTTGTGTTGTTACTATTCATTTCGCCCACCCAATAATAACAAACACAAATGAATTTCTTCATCACAAACATTGGGTTTATTTAAAAAGAAAATTCCTGCCTTAAATTCAAAGATTATGGAAACACAGCACAGAATGCTTGTTTCTTTCGGTGTGTTATATAACACAAGACAAGACAAGAAGAAACAGAATTTTTGTAAACATCAAACAAAATCAAAACAATTAAAAACAAAACAAAACAAAAAAATTGAAAATGAAAATTAACATTGGAAAAATACTTACCATACTTTGTTTGTGGTTTTTCTCGATGAATTTTTTTCTGTTTCACAAATTCATTATTCAGATGATAATGATAATTAAGAACACACACACACACGCACACCTTTTTAATCAATTATCGGTGTGTGTAATAATTGTTTGTTTGTTTGTTTGTGGTGGTGTCTAAAAGACACACACACACACACACACAACGAGAGAGAATGTTTATCCAAAGCCACACTTTGAATTATGAAAATGGTTTTTGTTTTATCTTTTTTTTTTAGTTCCAGAAATAAGAATAATATTTTATACCAGCATTCGAATGTTTTTTTCGTTGATTGTCAATGAATAAACAATTTAAATACACATAAGAAATATAGATAATAATAATGAAAAAAAATTACCAGAATTTTTGTAAGAAAATGAGCTGAAAATAGAATTCTTGTATATGTGTGTTGTTGTTGTTAGTTGTGTAGAATCTTACACAACTTATATAACAAACACCAACCAACCAATATTGAAGAACAAACATACAAACAAACACACTGATAGTGAGATAGTGAGATAGTGAAATAAAGAACCGAAAAAAATGGACACGACCGTTAAGTATATATTGATTCCATTTGGATTCTTGTTTTTTCTTTTTGTTTGTTTGTTATTATTTCTTCTTCATTTCATTTCATTTGATAAAACGAAAGAAACAAAATTGAAAACAAAAAAATTCCAAAAAAAGAGAGTTTCTGTTGTTGCTGTTGTTGTTGTTGGTGTGTGTTTCATCAATACAGTTTTAGGCAGCAACGGCAGTAGCATCATTTTATTTCTGGTTATTTAGTTTGTGTGTGTGTGTGTTGGCGTTATTCTGGATCGTTCTGGATTATTTATATGCTCTCTGTATGTATGTATAATATGCTCACATAACATATATTCTGGTCCTATCTTTTTCTTTTTGCTAGTTCCAACATTATTCCCCCTATAGAAATTTTGGTTACGAATAAAAAATAGATGCTGTTGTTTATTTGTTTGAATGTTTGTCGAGTTTGGTTATACCCATACACACATACACATTCAAAGACAGCAACCAACCATTGATTAGACAAAGAATCCTAAATCGGATGAGGTAGTGGTTATATGGATCAGGAAATATAGTCAGGAATTTTTTTCGTTGGTTTGTTTCATTGGTAATAATGGTAGTAGTGGGTTCAATTTGGTTGGTTTGCAACAAAATGAATGAATGTCGGTTTTCATTTGTTGGATCGGCATTAATAAGTTACAGACACACACATACAGAGATAGACCGAAGTACACAAAAGACAAGCATAGGTTAAAATAAGAGTTCAAAACTAAAAATCGATCCAAAAGCACACACAACACACACACACCCGCAGTTGAATGCGAATAGTGTTCCAACAACAATGCGCATGTACGGTTTCAATTTCAAATACGGTTTTTTTTTAAAATATATATGATACATACATACATGCAGGGTTACAAGAATGTCAATGGGTAATGAACTTTTAGGTCTTTGTTCATTTTTTTTTTTGTTCACTTTTTTACGCACACACACAAACACACCGGGTATTGTTTTGTCGGGAAAAAAATAAAAAATTTCTGTTTATATCCGGTTTTTTGTTGTTGGTTACAATGTGATGAACAGGGTTATGAAGGGTTGATTTAATTTTTTTTTGAATGAAATTTTAATAAATAGGGGATATAAATTCGTTGAAATCAATGAGAGAAAACTGGAATCGATTCGGGGGATGTTTTTTTTTTTAAATTGTTCATTATCACCACCATATCATCATGATCATGTGATTCCAAAATGATGTTCAAATGAACTTCTTTCTTTTCTCCAATGTGTGTTTTTGTGTTTGTTGAAACATTGAATTGAGGAAATGAATGAGCAAAAAATGAAAAGCAAAAACAAAAAAGACTCACTTTATATATGTAAGTGAGTGCGAAGAAGATGAAATTAATTCATAGCCATACCGCAAAAACACACACATACATTTATATTTAAACATTTTTTGTTTTCTTCTCAAAGTAAAAATATATCGATGATGATCAAACGGGAGAGAGAGCAAGAGAGAGATGATTAACGTCATCATCAAACAGAAGCCGAAAAGAAGAAACACCATAGAGACATTATTATAACAGTCGTTCATTTGGATACTTTTTTTTTGTTGCAGGATATTTTCGGATTTTTTTTTTTTTTAAATATGCAAGTCGATTTCAAATTGCCATCATGTTTTTTTTTGTTTCTTCGTAAGATGAAGAAACAACAGAAGAAGAAAAACGGTAAACAAACTTCTGAATAAAATCAATGACGGATATACCGAGCATAATGATGATGATGATGATGATGGCGTAATCGATACAATGATGATGATGATCATCAATGAAATTCAATAATGTTAAACAGTTTGTTCGTTTTGAATTTTGGAGAAGAAACAAAAAAAAATGTAACCAAAATCAATTCAATGATGTGATGCGGTTACGTTGTAATTTTATATCATATTTTTTTTTTCAATGGAAAACGTAAGAAAGATACATCACAATCAAACAACATTGACGACATGTATGTAAGACAATTCTGTAAGTCCTGTGTGTTGATTTTTGGATTTTTCTGTTGTTTGTTAAAATTATCATTTTATTCAATCGAAAAACAAAATCGATCGAAACATTTTTTTTTCATTCTGTTGTTTTTTGGATTAAACAAGTGAAACAGTTTTCCTACAGACCGAGAGAGTGAGATTAAAGAAGGAAAAAAATTTTTAAAGAAATTTTTTTCTCTTGTTTCAGAATTTTTCGTTACCGAATCAAAATAATGATGAATCACATCTCGCGAAATACCCAAGAGTAATGCTGAATGTTTTTTTTGGCTGAAAAATTTTTCTTCACATTGATTAGTTTTTGATTCTTTTGATTTTTCAATTCTCTTTTTTGAACGAAATTCTGCTCTCATAAATAATTGGAATTTTTTCTTATTTTGTTTCGTTTGAATTTGTTGCAATCAAAAAAATCCAAACGTTTTTAGTTTTACTAATGATATCTGAATGTCTGTTACTTATTTTTTCCTGTACTGTTCTGTTATATTCACTAAAGATATATCATTATTTTGATGGTCAATGATCAGTGTTTGTCGATATTCCATGAAATGGAATCCAATTTTTTCTCCAAGTAAAATTCTTTGTCCGGAATTCAATTTTTTGAAAAAAAAATTATTGAAAGTTTTGAAACACAAACATTAGATGGCGCTTCAGTTCTCGACATATTCTATTATTTCCGAAAGATTTTTGTTTTTCATTTGGAACAAAATAAACATTCGAAAACATCGAAAACATCCAACCGCCCCACACACACACACACAGATGAATGAATATTATCATCAAAACATAAAAAAGTGTTTGAAAATTTTTTATTATTTGACAACAATTATTTGGCAATGGTAAATTATGGTTACAACAATGTATATTTCAATAAGAAATTGTATTCTTTTTTGCTCTGTTTTTTGTTTTTCTTTCCCTTACAGAATTAATCGTCGTCTTTGTTGTTGTTCCATTTCAAGCTCGATTTGTTCGGTCAATGTTATTGTCGCTCCATTTGTTGTAGATAATGATGATGGTGGTGGTGGTGGTAAATATTGTATCGATGTTGTCGGTGTCTGTAATTCATTTGATGATGATGATGATTGTTGTTGTCGTTGATTTTGTAATGATGGTTGACTGATTGTTGCCGCTGTTGCTGCTGTTATTACTGCTGGTGTTGTTGTTGTTGTTGAAAGAATCTGACAATTTGAATACTGTGAAATTGAATGATGCATTTGCCCTAATGAATTTGTAATAATACCACCACCACCACCATTATCATCATCATCATCATCATTAGAATTTAATGATGAACATCCAATCATTTTATTATGAATTTTCAAATTATTACCATCATCAATAATATTATTTGTTTGAAAACTAATATTACCATTAATAATATTTGGTGATAATACTGTATTAAATGATTCAGTTGATGATATTGATCGTGATCTTGGTGATGGATAACGATAAGGCTTTGTTTTACTTTGACACATCATTGCAAATTTTAAATCTTTTGATAATTCTTCACAAACAACATCCTAGATTAGATGATGAGAGAAATCATTAAGATTTTTTTTTCAATAGAAAATTATAATTGAAAATAACTTACACATGCTTTATGTGGTGTTTTTGTATGAAACCAAAATTCACAAAGTGCAACACAAAATGCTAATGCTAAACCACCAATCAATACAACAAATACACCGCCAACATTATCCATTTTTAATGCCGTTACTGATGATGATGATTTTTTTGCATCATCAATACATTGTCCACCACCTTTTTTCTGTTTCCACCATTTTTCTTTTAATTCTAATAAACGTCCTGATTCTTGTAATTTTAGAATAGCTTCTGATAATAGATTACGATATTTTGATCCTAAATTAAGATGAAAAAACAATAATAATCAGATTAGAATGATGATTTGACAAGTGTGACACTTTTTAAAAACAATGAATTGGTAGGGTCGAATAGCGATGATATTGGATTTTTTGTTACAAAAAAAATAATGTTAAATATGTAACTCACGTTTTCTTGTTGCAATACCATAACCTTTTGTATCAAGTAGTCCACCAATCTGTGTTAGATTACAATTTCTTTCAATTATATATTCAATACTAGCTGATTCCATTAGATAGGCATAATTTCCTCTTTCAACACGTTTACGTCCATCTTCATTTTTAGCCATAAAAACATGTGGACGTGATTTCATAAATTCAAACATTCGTTTAAATGTTGATAGATTTGATTCACGAAAAAATGCTTTTGTTGAACCACTATTTAAACAACCATATTCAATTGTTGTTTGTTTAGATAAATCTTCAGCATCTTTGATTGGATAAATAACTTTTTCAACAGTTAAAAATGCAGCTAAATTAGCTGTATATGATGATATCATGATTAATGTAAAAAAATACCAAAGACCAGCAATTGTACGTGTAGACATGGCTCTTTGATCAGATAAACAAACATAGAAAAAAGAAAAAAGAAAATAAATAACCATTCATCATCAAAGATTTTGTTTATTATTCCAAAATGAAAAAAAATATATACTTAGGAGCTAGATCCGATCCTTGTTGCATTAATGAACCAATTGTAAAGAAAAAACTATTGAGCTGTGAAAAATTATTTTCAAGTACACCATCATTTTGACGACATGGATTTGGATTTTCCCATTCATATGGTGACATACGACCAACAAAAAATAATACAGTCGATACACCAACATAAGCAGCTAATACATAACACCAAACAGTACTTGATAATGGTGATAAAAATGAAAATAATGTGGTCACTTTGGTGGTTGGTTTTTTAAACAATATACTGATTCCTGTATTCATAAAAGGCTAAAATTTTTCCAAAAGAAAATAAATAACCAAGAAAAGAAAACAAAATCGATCATCGATCATTAATTATGATTTTCCTTTTTTAATAATGTGAAAACAAACAAACAAACCAATGTAAAATCAACAGCTTCGGCACGTTTCGATGTAATTGTTAAATCAACAACAGCAATATCAGCTTTTTTCTTAATTACTTCACCTTCATGACGTGGAAGGAAAGAAACAAAAAATCAATCAAATAACGAAAAAAGATTACTATTATTAATGCTTACCAATAAGACCATTCCATTCACCATTTTCATTTGTACCATAAACACCATCATCAACAAGTTTAAATATATATTTGAAACCAAGAATTTTGGATAATTCTTCAACAAGATCAATAATATAACCTTCAAAACGTTCATTACCAATTTTTGTTTCCGATGATTCTGTATACATACAATATGGATCATTTAATATTGTTGTTACACGTAATGTTTTATTTTCTAATGTTCCAATTTGAAATGTTGATTGCCATTCGGGTTTTATTTTTAAACGTTTATATGCCAATTCATTTGGATCCCATGAACCAACCTTTATAATAGAAAAAAATAATCAAAAAAATAATTATAATAACCGAGCAACCAACCAACCAGCATCATTAGTTTTGATTAGGTGAACAATCGACAAGCTAACAATTTTCATTAATTAGCATCTACAACAGCAACAACAACAAAGAATCTACAAACAAACAAGAATTGAATATACCCGCATATCCGTTTGGTTTTCATTAAAAAAAATTGTTTTCCGGGTTTTCATTAAAAACCAGAAAATACAAAAACAGAAAAAACACATTGAATTATAACATTAATTTCTGTGTGTGTTGATTATAATGATAATGACCAGAATTAAGAATCAGAATCATGACTAACAGAAAGAAAAACAACAATAACAACAACAACAACAAAGATTTCTTATTCAAACAAAGAAATCATTATCAATAAATTATTGTAACTCTACAATAACAACAACAACAAATTTATTTCATCATCAATCGATAGAATCAATCTCGTTCAACATACACAGTTTGAACACACACACACACACGTAATATATATTGTAACAAATTGAATTTGAAATAAATCACAGTCCAACCAAATAGAAAAAAAATCCATTCCAAATGAAAATGAATATGAAACAATTGAAATGAAATGAAATAACCGATAACAACAACAACAACACAACAGTAACATCTGTGTCCTTAAATCTTTGTGGGAGAGAGAGAGAAAGAGAAAAAGAATTACAGAATGCAGAATTTAGCTACTGGATATTCTGGATGAAAAGAATAATTTTGATCATATCAAAATACTTGGAGCAAAAAAAAAAGATATTCAAAGATGCAAATTCTTATCTAAAACAAGACAAAAACGAAAAATGTATTAATTTCGTTTTTTGTTTTCATATTTTTCATTTGAATAATCAGTGTTTTTGTGTGTTTCTGATTCTGATTCTGATTCTGATGGAATAACGTTTTGTTTTTCTGTTTCTGTGTTCTTTTTTTCTTGGATTTCATTTCCTCATTCCGAAGATAAAATTCTCATTTTATAATCAGAAAATAAATAGAATTTTTTTTCAAAAAGAATTGATTGATTTTTTTTCTTCATTTGGTTTGATATTCATTTCAAAATTTGATTTTCAGTGTGAGAAAAAAAATCTAATTACATTCAAACAAATTGAAATGAAAGATCGGTTTGTTTTGATTCTCTGAACAAACCGATCTTTCATTCTCAATGTGAACTTTATTTGTGTGAATGAATGGAATTCTTGCTGATTCTTTGATTCTATAGCCCAACTGCTGCTGTGTTTGGTGATTTGATGTGCACAAATGAAATGCACATTCATTAGAATTTTTTCTGTTTCATTTTCATTATTCATAGAAAAAAAAGAATTATTTTGCCTTGTTCAAAATTTATGTTTTAAATTTTTGCTCTTTTTTTTAGATTTTCCAAACACCATTATCATTATGAAAACAACAAATAAACGAATCTCTGGAAATCATACATATATACTTCCATATAAACATATGATGCTCCCTAATGGATAATGCAATCTAGGCAATAAATTCTTCTCGACGAAGAAAAAGAGTGATTTGAATTTTCTGTATGTATATTTTATTCTGCAAATATTGATTGCACTTAATATTTATTGATCTGGTTGGAAAAAAATTAATAATTTTTTTTCTTCTTCTTCGTTAACAGTGTTTTAATGTGTTTGGCCATTACTATACTTCATTTATAAATCGGGAGAGAAAAATAATAATTGATAAATACTGTCAAATTGAGTAATTAATTAGCTAATTAATTAGAATCGATTCTGAAGACGAAAATCTATAAAAATAATAATAAGCAATAAGCAAAATGAAATACAAAACCTTTTGTAATAAATTTGGGGCAATTAATTTTAACATTATCATTGAAAAAAATCTTGGTGAAACAATTTTTTATTTATAACCATTATTATTATCATCATTATTATGGTTAATGAAGATTTAACTGGTGAGAAAACTAAAACAAAAAAACAAAACAGCGTTTCCCAATCGTTTTTTTCTCCATTGAACACATATTATTATCATTTGATTTATAATTGGATAATGGATGCAAAAGATTCTCAACGAAAAAAAAAATCGATTATATATTGTGATTGAAATCAGAAACAAAAATCAGAATCATCGAACCACAAATAATTTCAAATTGTATATATAAATAACTAACTAAATGAATGAATGAATGAATGATTTGAATCGGAAATGAGCAAATGATATGAAGAGAGAAAAGAAAAACTTACATAATAATAATAAACATTGTTGTTGGATCAAGAATAGGAATCAATCTTAGTATCGATTTGATTTGATTTTTCAAATATAAACAACAAGAATGAATGAATGAATGAATGAAAAATGAATGGAAGCTGATTCTGTGTTTAAGCCTGTATAGAAATATAATGTGAATATAATTTTTGTTTGTTTGTTTGGGCTTAACAATACATCTTTCATCATCTTTCTTTTCGACAATTCTTTCATTTTTTTTGTTGATGAAAAATGCAACGAAGAAAACAAACGACGAATATAATGTATTTGGCGATTTTAGCTAAAAGTTTAGCTTTTCAAATGACAAAAATTTGGATCAAGATTTGATCGATTTTTTTCTCAATGTTAAATTACGAACAGCAAACATTTGGTTTAATCCGAATAAACGATAATGAGATTCATTCAACAATTTTGAAAAAAAAACCATTTTCAAAAAAAACATATTGATGAAATTTGAATCGATTTTTTCTTTTATGGTAGTCAAACGTTTATTCTGATGTGAATGTATTATTCTTCTGAAATTTATTTCAATAAACAAACAAACAACTAACAAACTTATTCGACTGACTAACTAACTAGAAAACTTGATTGTATACAAAAAATGTATTAAAAGTTGATTTTCAAAGTTGATGTTCCAAAACCAATAATCAACTAAACATAAATCATATTGAAATGAGAGCAAAACGAGACCGAAAACCTAACAAAAAATAAAAAATAAAATTATATCCGAACCAAACTCGGATTCAAGATTTTCCTTCTTCTTTTTTTGATAGAATTCTCGGTGGAATTTTTTTTCTTCTTCTTCTTTATATGTTTGTCATTAATATTTTTGTTTGTTTCTTTATCAGTGATGATGTTTGGCCGATATATATTTTGTTTGTGAGGGTTTTTTTTGATGTCCAATGAAAAAAAAGCCAAATGTTTTCTTGTTATTTTGTTGTTGTTGTTGTTGAGTTTTTTTGTTGCTTTAAGCCTAGCAACAACGACAACGACAACAACAAAGATTCAAAGTGATGATAGAGTAGTTGTTGAATGAGAGACTGAAGAATACTGGAATCAGAATCCGAATTACATTTGAATTTCTATCCAATTCTTTTTCTTCGAATCTCTCTCTCTCCCCTATAACTAAGAATTAAGCCATGTAGAAACAGCGACAACAACAACAACAAGAAAAAAAGCGACAGACCGGAAGAATCTAAGGGAAATGGGAAAGAAATATATATTTGAATGTAGCTGACCAGAATAACCAACAACAGAAAAAAAATCAATCTCATTGACCGGATATGTTTGTGGATGAGAAATTCAAAAAAAAATGATGTGATATTAGACAGATAGATCATCATCGTCGTTTAGCGAAAAGAAAAATTTCAAATTCTTCTCCTTACACTGATTCTTCGGATTCAATTCAACGACTATGATTGATCATTTCTTTTTTTGATCTCAATTAAACATGAAAAAAAGAAAAAGATTCAAAACAAAAAAAAATCTTCATGTCATTTTTGTTGTTGTTGTTGTTTTATTTCCTAAATGATGACTTCAACAACAACAACCAAAAAAACAGAAATCCGGATACTTTTGCCGGCAATTTTCTATTTCACGCACACATGACCGACAGACATTATAACGATCATCAAACATCAATGAACAATGATTTTGATGATGAGGATCATTTCTAATTCGATACAGACAGACACACTGAAGAGAGAAAAATATTTCTGTAATCATCATCATCATCATCTCGAATGTAAAGATTCAAATACACATTTTATGAAGCAGAAAAATGATTTTTTCCGTTTCGTTAATGAAATTGAAAACGGAAATTATTTCCAGAACGAGATCCGTATGTGTGTGTATGTCGTGATTTTTCTTTTTTAAAAAAATTGAAAAAAAAGTTTGAAAATTGAAAAGTTTGATTTTTCAATAATTTTTTTTTGCAATTTTTTGACATCCAATTTGAAACCTAAAATTATTATTATTATCATAAATTGTTCAATAATAATGATGATGATGATGATGGTGGTGGCTGTCAACTTTTTTCCTCTAATAATTTTCAATTGCGAAAAAAATGACTTACAGTTTGAAAACCTTGTCGTGTTACAGTCATTAAATCCAAGCGAAAATGGCTACGTTTTCCTTGTTGATCGAAACCAACTAGTCCGGTTATTCCTTGAAATGAAATCTGGTGAAATTTTGAAATGATTTTGAATGATAGTTTTTCAAACAAAAAGTTTTCTTTAATATAACAAACCGGTCGCATATAATTCATTAATGATGTACCATATAACCATGGATTCATATTTGTACATGATGTTGTTGGCATAGAAATTGATTGACTTTGATCTAAATCTTTTAATGCTGTTGCAAATAATCTTATTGAATCATATATTAATGCTGATTCTGTCTATTTTTAATTTAAATGAATTAGAATGAAATTTTGAATTTTATTATTTTATCAATGAAAATATAATCAATGTTGAATGTTTACCAGAATTGTATTGGCAAGTCTTATGGGTGGATCGGGAAATGTTGATACAGATGATGATGATGATGATGATGATGATATCGTTGATACAGTTGTTAATGATGATGATGATGATGATAATGTCATTGTACGTAAACGACGTCGTAAATGGCTAATCACATCATGAAGCTCATTTGATGAAAAATCAATTAAACTAAGTGAAGTAATTTTTGTTTTAGCATATTGAAAATTTTCCATATTAATTGTATGAAGATCCTATTGAATGTTACAAAAAATTTTGAAACAATAACCGAATATAAAAACACCAACATACCAATGTTGTAATAAGATAATTTTGATTTTCGGTCATCATTCCAACTTGTTGTGCCTGGTTTATATTGATGAATTTTTGTTATTGATGATAAATACAGCATTAAATGAGAATACTACAACTTACATGTTTGAGCGCCAAAAATATATTATCACGATCCAAATCCAATAATAAATTATTGATTTTATTTTGTTTAATTTCCCAGAATATATCACGATACATACGATTCTGTACCTGATATAATCGTATATTCCATTCATTTTTTTCTGCTTCTTTTAGAAATTCTTGTACACGCATTAGACCTAATTTATTTTTGGTTAAAAATTTCAATTTTGGTTAAAAATTTATCCAGGTAAAAACTAACTAATTAAATTTTTACTGAATTACCTTCATTAGCTTCATAAACAATAACAAATGATTTCCATTTCCATGATTTAACAATATCAATAAATGCCAAACTTAAATAATCATGTTTTGGATAAATATTCACCGATAATTGATTATTATTTGTTTGTTTCATTGTATTCCAATGACATTCCAGATGTGGTATTTCTAATGAATCCAATATTGATTGTACATGATGATATAGCTTTCCATTCAATGGTCCAAACAATGCAATCGAACCATTTTCCAATAATGAACATACTGAGTATTGTCGTGCCATGTGATTATCAAACACCAAACAAGAAAGAAAAATGTCAAAAATAAAATGAAAAATTTTAATGTTTTTTCATTGTCTAGCAGGAAAAATTCAAATTGAATGTTTTTTTTTGTTTTATAAAATTTCAATTTTCACAAAAAAATAAATTGCCTTTTCCAAACCAAACGAAAACAAACCAATGTGAAAACAAAACTACAAAACCAGAATTGTGTAAATGAAGAAATCAGTTTTTGAATAATGAGAATTCTCTGTATTTTTGTCTCTGCTGTGTTTGAGAAAAAAGGAAATTCCGTTTGAAATTCTTATCGGCAATTGTGTTTTTGCAATAAGAAAAGAACAAAAAATTCATTACTTAAAAGAAATGAACAATGTTTTTTTGATGTTAGAAACAACGATTCCGGAATCCAGAATTTTTTTTTGGAACAAAAGAAGGAACAAAACATAACATTTCACACCTCTCATCATCATTTCAATTTCAATTTCAAAAAATATTGTATTTGACTGATAAACGGAATGCTTTTCCTATTGAAAAAAATCTCCAAAAATCATTCAATTTGATCGATTCATTTTTTTNATCCGACCTCAGACCTTGATTTCCTATTATCACCTTAAATTCTCGAAAAAAGCCATGTAATCATAATAAACTGATTATTTTTGAATTCGTTCTTATCTAGGCTAATCCATAGACTGGATCTGATAACGGAAATCATCACTTTTCGGTGATAAAAATGAAAAATGTCCCACTTCCCTTAAAAGTTTGCTTCACTGTCATAATTCTTTACCTTTTT